GATCTCCCGAGGGAGAGTGTTCCATAGCCTGGGAGCTGCCACAGAGAAGACCCTCTCCCGTGTCCCCATCAGCTGTGTTTATGCTGGCCAAGAAGAGGACCTCCTTTGCTGCTCTTAATCGCATATAGGGAGATAGGGCCCTTCGGGTAGCCTAGACCCAAGCTGTATAGGGCTTGATAGGTAATGACCAGCACTTTGAATTGGGCCTGGAAATGGACTGGTAGCCAGTGCAGTTCTTGTAATAGAGGGATTATATGCTCCCTCTAGCTAGCCCCAGTCATTAGTCTGGCTGCAGAATTTTGCACCAGCTGAAGTTTCCAAACCGTCTTCAAAGGCAGCCCCACATAGAACGTGTCACAGTACAGTAATTCAAACACAGCTTCTGTTTGTTTAGTAAAGCTAGCAAGCAGCTATGAAACATTTGGACAAATGAGGAGGTTAATCTTTGGCTTCTGTATGCTCTTTTCTTTCATTTCTCTTTTTTTCTTGGACAACAAAGTTATTATAGACCATTTTACCTCTAATCTACTAAAGCATTTCTTCTGCACTACTGTACTCTGAATGGAAAAAAGCAGTTACAAGCCTCTGACAGTGCCCATATATAATGAAAATGATGCTTCAGTCTTGAACAGCAGAACTGGAAAGTGAAGCAAGCTACAGATAATATGAGTAACTGTAGCACACACAAAAAATCACTGTGTTTTTTTGTGTACACTTTCACTATGAACAAATCTGGGCACAGTCAATCCATAGTCTGAAAATACCCAGATTTGATTATTGTAATGCATTCTCTATGTTTTCCAGAGATATTTCTAAATTTACTCCAGAATGTAGCAGTAAAGGAGAAGGAAAACTCCGATTTCAAACCTCCACTGCCTTGTAGGTTAGCTTCAGGAGGTAACCTAGAGGCAAAATCCGGAGCTGGAGTCCCAAAGGCAGTTCGTGTCGTTCTGCCAACTCCTGCGATGTTGCTGGAACCAGTTGTATGGGCTCTTGCCTTTCCATTGGACCATTTCAGTAACGTGGAGAGGGGGGAATCTGCTGCTTGGTTAACAGCCTATCCTCCATATTACTTTACCCAGGCTTCATGCTCTGGAGAGGACACTCCTCAATTCAGAGCATGTTACCATAGTCTCTCGAGACTGAAGGATGCCTATAAGAAGCAGTAAAGGTGTTAAGAAAGATACATCACACAAACTGTATTTATATTTGCTGCCGGTTTGCTTATGACAGGGACATGGAGATCTGATTCAATAGGTCTTTCTGAGTGTTTAAGGGTCAAGCTAGACATTAAACAGCGCAAGTTTCTCTTCCAGTCTGCATATTTGTCCTCCCGTGATATTTCTTCTGAGATGTGTGCTTCATTTATCAGACTTGCAGTTGAAGTCCATGTTTGCCTTCCAATGACCAATCAGGGAAAAAAAAAACACATTACCTGTGAAATACATGAGGAAAATCTCTGCTGTGACAAACAGGCATCTTTAGTCTCTTGGGAGAATACTACTTAGTGTGTCATCCAGTTTGATCTGAAACTGAATGCTCAGAAAGTTGCAAAAAGGTTTTGAAGTACAGTATTTGATTTTTGTATTGATGATGGCATTACAGTAGCCCCGTGATAGACATGTTGCAGAAATGTGAGAAATGAAGCTTACACTGGTTCCACTGCTAATATTCCTGTGTGTTTCAAGGCTCTTCCCTGTCATTCCTAAATCTCCTTACACTGAGAATGGAGTTGATTCAAAGTTATTGTGTGCCTTCATTTGAATGTATGAATTCTCACTAGTTTCCTGTCAATGTTTTGCCCCTCTTCTCTTGGTGGGGTGGGGGAGGACAGACAGGAGAGTGGTATTAATTTGCTCCAACAATTAATTTTTGCTGGAGCAAATGTCATCACCTAATTGAATAAATACAGAAACAATTAATTCAAGATGTTCTTGTAGAGTATAAGATGCAACTTTGCAAGTATGTGCTTTGGACCCTTGCAATATATCGAAAGCACCATAGCCTCAATTCAGTCATTTTAAAGCTATACCTTTAACCAGAAACAAACAACTAACATGACCCTCCAACATCTTTCTCGAAGTCTGTTTTCCTGCCCTGAAATAACAGGAGAGGCGATTTAAAACAGGGATTTCTGTTTTAACAGGGATTTCTCTCCACAGGAAAAAGCAAACAGTAGAAGTACACAAGAAGCACGCCTCACTCCTAAATGAAACATTCTGAATAGGATGTCAGCGAATGCCACCTAAATTCTGCAGCACTGATTTTTGAATAAATAGCTTGTCTCATCTTTGTTAACCGAAGCCCGAGGCAGGAAGAGAAAACACAAGAAAAGGCGATTCCTCAAATGGAGCACAGATGGAATAAAACCGGCAAGAAACATTTCTATCACGACTAGCGAGGGAGAATTCTTGTTATACTGCATAATAAAAGACAAGACACATCAAACGATCCCCGGCTCCTTTCGACTGACATGTAAGGAAAAGCAACAACCCTTGAGCGCCCTCCTCTGACTATCCAGCGAAGTGCTGGTTCCGGTCGGAGGCGCGTTGTTTATCTTCAGGTTCCGGAAATGCGCTTCCTGTTTGACGCCATGTGATCCCGGCCGATTTAATGGGCGTGGCCTCCGACGCTTTTCGTATTTGGATTGGCGGTGGGGAAAGGGGCGGGGCTTCGGGGCCGGGAGCCCCTTCGCCGGCCTTTGGAAGGACGCGGGTGGGCGGGCCGGAGGCCGGCAGGTGGGCGGGGCGGCAGGCAGGCCGCGAGGGATGCTCGCTCCTCGGCGGTGCCTTGGTGGGACCGACCTGTCGGGCCATCCTTGATCGGGCGGCCGGTCCCGTCGGAGCTGCGG